TATATATATATATATAAAGTCTGTTTGGCAGAAAAGGGTAGTAGAAAGTAATTGATGAATATATATTAGGTTTAATATTTTGTTACATTTGATATAATAGTTGAATGTATCATTTATAATATTATGTGTATTTAATGTGGAATTGTGTTGTTATATGCAGTAATATAAAGTTCTGCTTGTGATTTTTCTAATATGGACTATATACAGTGTGAGGATATATCACATACAGACAGCACTCATAAAGACAAGTCACCAAATGTCTGGCACATCATCCTGTCATTTATTACATCAAATTGTTGATTTATGAGTGTGCCTAGAAAGGGCTGACACATCCCTTTGTCATCGCCAAACCTTTGCACTTGAATGTGAAAATGGAATGACCCGAGTGAGAGATCGTAGTGTAACACATTCAGTATGAGGAAATGGGGCACGACAGTCCCAAAATGGGCGTGTGTCCGGATGTCCAGACCTAGCAGACAGGCTGTGCCCATCCATACAAATTTCAGAGGGAGAGGGCCAGCGAGAGCTGATTGCAATGTAAGCGTCTGGTGCTGTCAGCAGCTTTAAATCACACAGGCACTCCACAACAAAAAACACAGAGAGCTATTGTGCTCCCGAACAATAATGGTCAATTTATACACTGGACGTCTGCTTTCAATTTGTAAACACTTATTAAAACAGGTATCTTTGGTGATATAGGAAAAAAAAATAGAGAACCTCTATGAGAATTGCCATTGTTCTGTGTAATTTAACTCCGAAATGAAAGCTTATCCCTCTGGAGAATGCCAATGTTAGGAAGAGGTGGCCGAGGTTTACTTTAACAAGGCTGCTGATCGTTTCAATCTGACCTCAACAGTTTGTATGGCACATTTTTACTGAGATCTGACGCAATGTAATACAGGCCTTGCAGAGAGTTTGTTGTTGAATGATAGGGCAGTTATAAACTATACTGGAGCTGACAGCAAACCAAAGCACTGTTGCTCATTTCACATGCGTAGAGGGTGTTTGCATACACATTTAATGAAGGGTGAAAGGACGGATTGAAAAGAGGTCTTTAAAAAGTGAAAAATGGCGATAATTAGAAGGGTTTTCTCCACTCTGTCATCTGATGGAGTTTGGGTTCCCCTCTGTCACCTTTGGCTTGGCCAGTTGGGGCTCAAAAGACACTTAATATTCAGTATCAGTAATATTGTCGATTATTCTGTACTGGCACTATCAAATGAGAACAAAACTGGAACTGAATTGAGCTGGATATTGACACTATTGTCTTCTGTCGAGCTGCCTTTGAAGGTTTTTCATAATTAAGGAACTTAACAAGATGTCAAACTGAATTGAATCAACATTGAACAAAATTTAACTGAATAATGACACTATTGTCTTCTGTAGAGCTACTTTGTCGCTGTACAGAATTTTATTTGAAATTGGACTGCAACATTAATACTTTCAGTGAACTGAATCAACACTGAGCTAACCTGAGCTATATAATCTTACTATGTCTTCTGTAGAGCAGCTTTATAACTGAACTGGAATAGTTTCATAATTGATGAACTTTGCGACATTTACACTGTTATTGAACTAAATTGAGCTGAATAATGGCACTGTTGCCATCTGTAGAGCTGCTTTACAGCTGAAGTAATTTCATTTCAGTTTTGTAACGCTGTTATTTTCCCGTTTATTTCTGTGACGCTCTTTTAAAACAATGTGTATTAAATAAAGCACCATAAATGCGACTTGACTTGTTTTGATTAGTCTTTTTCTAAGTGAACCCACTTACGGAGACACCTGAAGAGTCAGCTAATAATACTACTGCATTATGAGGTTAAGAGGAAAGCTTAGCTGACTTTACAGTATTTAACAGAGCGTCATGGTCAGGGCATTCATTTCTCATCTGCAAATTCATCATAAGTGTTTGACCTGGACCTCCTTCCTGTCTCTGTGAGGAAATGCAACTGTTTTAAAGTAGTTTCACATATTTCTTAAAGAACTTTAAAGACAAAGCATCCTATACACACAAAACCACTGACACAAATCCCTAACAGTATGCTATTCACTTGTTTGAGGCCCAGGAAGCTGTGTCTAAAAGAAGAATCAAACAACGGGCCTTTTAAGATGGAAGCAAATAAAGATATTATCTATAAAAGCGATCATCTAACTAATTTCTTAACTGCATGGAAAGTTACTGATAAATGTGCACATACTAAAGCAGGTTTTACAAGTTTACTAACTTGAGCCTGTTTATTTATAGGACACGTGAATAGGCAAGGTAAGTGATTAGAGGCATTAAATGACATTATCCGTTTTTGCTTGAAAACTGGATACATTCCTCTCTTGAACTCTGTGAGACCTACTAGGTAACATGGCAGGATATTCAAACCTCATTCTGTTATGTTTTCTTTTCTTTCTTTTTTTATTATTTATTCAGATTGTTTCATTCACAAACTTACTTGTAATGATGTTGAAATGTTGAGTCTGCAAACCTTCATACGACTAGACGAATCCTTCATGAAATGATGCCCTTGACAGTGACAGCAAGGATGGCGCTCCCTTCGTTTCAGCACTCTGTAATATGTGAATAATCTTTGCAAAGCTTGTTCAGAAAAGGTTTGAATTCACATGAAATATGAGCATGTGGTGAAAGGAAAGCATTTTGGCCTATGAAAGATGTACTTTGTGTAAACATCGGAGTCAAACGAGAACTCTATGCTCTCAAACCAGATCGATTTTAGAGCCTCTTTGACCATCAGGTGAAATAATTATATAACGTTGGATGAGGCTTTCAGCTTCTCTTCAGTTTATTTCTATTTTATATAATTATTATTCATATAAATAAAACATATCAGGTTATACAAATGTAGTAACTATTCACACTTCCTAATTACTAAGTCTTCACTTGCAATTTGAATGGTCTTGTAAATGGAAAGATTCAGTTTGCTGTGTTCATCTCAGGTCTTTGGAAACAGGCCCTGGATTTGAGGATTATGGAAACAAAAGAGGGACAAACAGCTTCATCTAGTGGCGGCTTCATGAGATTTTCTTTCGCAGTTCATAGTTGAAATCATAACAGTTTGGATTTAACCATTCAGGAAAGTTTAGATTAATTATATGTAGTATAAGAAAAATCCTTTGTCAGTGAGGATGAATATCAGAATGTGCATGTTGATTTGTGATTTTGTGGTTATCAAAAAGACAAATTGCTTGCTTTGAAAACTAAAAAGAGTCAATATATATTTTAAGAAATTTACAATTTTAGGATATAGGTTATATATTTATATCAGCTTTACATCCTTATGTAGCCTATAGTCATATCTTCCTATGGATGCAATGTAAAGTAAGTCTAATTTCTTCACATGGCCACTAGATGGGGATAAAAAGAAATAAAAGTCTCTCTCAGGTGACCATGCAGATTCATGAGCTAGTGTTCATGTTATGATTACATACAGTGCGATTTGCCTTTCAATAGCCAAGCACATATTTGCTGTAGTTCAGTAAAAGCTTATTTTTTGTTCTTAACACAAAGCCCTTCAGTCATGTCAGACAAAGGCCAAGACGTCGATTTAACTAGAGCCAAACAAAACACGGGAGTCTGGCTGGTGAAGGTTGGTGGTTTATCAGTCAGCATTGGTGCTGAGCATTTGAACAAACTCTGAAAAATTAAACTATGGCGCTTAACTAACTCTTTGTACAGTTGATATGAATGATAAAGGATGTTTCAACGGCGCGTTATTTGTACTTTGATATATTTTTTTCTCAATTTTGTGCTACAAAAGTACTGAAGTTATTTGGAAATCCACAACGTGCCCTGTTATTGTTAAAACTGTCCCAATACGAAGTTAGTAGTCAGTATAAGTGAGATGTATACAGCAAGATTAAAAAGAAACATGGACATCAGTCATGGAGTGGTCTTAGGCTATTTGATTTAAAAAAAAAAAAAAATGCTTTGTAGCTCTGGTCTAACTGTTTAAATTAATGGTGGTACAACTCACTCTGATCTTCTTTATCTCAAATTTGGAGTCATTTTGAAGATGAGGTGTGATAGTGATCAGATTTACAATGAAGGATGGACCCAAGCTGTATCCAAGGACCAGAATCATTTTTTATCTTTTTTTATCATGGAATAGTAAGTAGCCAGCCAGCAACAACCCAGAAAACCATAGCAACATGCTAAGAACTACCTTAGCAACTGCACAGCAGTGCCATGGCAACCTCACACTATATGTATCATCAAGTTTACACTTACATTTGCTTCAGAAAATGTAAACA